TAGGATAAACCAAGAGTTCAATAAAGGAATCTTTAAATTCATTTACTATTGCCTTCTGTTGTGTCTTCATATAGGTGTAATTGTGATATTATCTTGTATTTAATTCGACGAATTGAATTAAAAATTAATTGTTTAAGTTTACACATACAAGCCAAGCCAACAACTTTGTTCAAGTAAAGGCTTTCTATTATCGCGAAAAAGCAAAAATTAAATATACTGAAAAATCTACTAAAAACTGGATGACAAAATTTAAAGAATTTCGTGCTAATACTGGATATCTTGTTTCTTTAATGGATCTTAATAACAACATACTGGTCATAAAAGCGTTCAAGGGATTCGTGCTAATAAAAAAATTAATGAACATCAACAATTATTTTAAACATATTGATTAATATTACAGACATTTCTAACAAAATAATTCAATTATATCAAATAACATAATTAACAATAATAATAATTCTTCAAAATCGCAAATTCCTCTTCAAGAAATTTCTTTGGCTTCAAATTCTTTAGATAAAATGCCAATATTTTTTAATTGTACATTCTCAAATGTTTCTATTTACATTCAAAAATAAGTAATTGAAATAATATCTATGTATAAATTAAATGCTATTATTAATTGAAAATTCAAAATATTATAATATGAGAATGTCATTATATTAATTTGATTGGTCAGTTTATACCGTGAAAAATATCAGTAAAAAAAGTCATGGCAATTGATTAGGAACCGTATTATAAATGTAATCATTCAACCCTGCCTAACACCAAGAATTTGATTATACTATTCGTTATGCCTAATCATGAAGACGATATTACGATAGTTTAGAATTCACTAATAAAATTAAATTTATTATGCATATTAAGTAACCATTATATTTTGTTTTTAAAAATTAGATCAATAAAGAATATAAAAAGCAATGTGCGAAAAAATGGTTAAATATTTATTAACATTGTTATTTTTAATATGGATATTAAATTGAAAATTACAAACTTTACTATCTCTAGTCTATTTATTGAATCAGAGAATCAATTAGATTAAGTGATCATACGCTCTAGTCTTGTTATTCGTTCTTCAAGTTGAAAAATTTTTATAATATACAAAATTTCATTCATTCCAATCTTACTAAATATATGCACAGATTTAAAAATAAAAATTCAGAACTAACACTTTACAAAAAAAAAGAAAAATAAATTACATATAATTACATTTGTCCATCAGTTAATAAAATACAAGCAAAATAATTAAATACTCTTGTTAAATAAATATTTCATTCCATTATACATTGACAATTAATAAAATATCCTAAATATATTTGTCGAATTTAATAATACCATTCAATTATTTTGCTGATACCCGTGTCGACATGATCATTTCACTGACAGTTAAAAAAAAATAGGATCGGAATCATCAATTTTATTAAATAAATTTATATTTTATGTTTTATATATAATTAAATTTTTATTTTCTCCCAATTGGATTTCTTGGTGATTTAGGCGGAGTCCAAAAGGATAATATTATAAGCTGCGAGGATTTGATCAATTATATAACAAAACCTATTAATTTAGAATTCAAAGTAAACATCTCTTATGTTTGCGAATAAGTTTCAATAATAGGTGTATTAACAATATTAGTTTGTTTTTGCTCTAAAGATTTATCTGCTATATCAAATTCTATATTACTTTCATCTCTAATCCTATTGCAAAAAAACATTAACAGTTTCAACCCTTTTAGTTGATCCTTACCTATAACTTTTTCTTTAAATTTAAAAAACAGTTTAATTTGATACTTGGAGTCTTCTTTATGGTGAAATATACAGTATATTCTATTTATATGTCTTTTAAGGAATTTGAGAAGGTTTTAAATAAGGTTACCGGGTAAAATTCAGAGGTTTCAACAGACATCGAAATTGAAACCCGTCAAAATTATTTGCTAAAGATTTTTATTAAAAAGTTTCGATAGATAGCAAAATCCATTGAAACCTTCTGATATAAAAATACAATTTTGAATTTAAAAATTTATTATTTTTGTTTAATGAGATGAGCAAATCGCATATAGCAAGATCTCTTTCTTTTATAATAGCATATATTTACTATATAAAGGATAAGAAAAAAAAATCAAAAATTTATATATTAAAATTGCATTAATTTATTTTTCATCAAGTCCAATTATCATTTATCTCCTATGTTTTCCTAATTTAAACTCATGACAGTATTCTTATCTTCTTCATTCATTAAACTTTCATTTGAAAATCATCATCTCTAGATTGAACCAGATTTGACATTCAGATTTAAAACTCGGATATATCCAGTTCAAATTTAAATCTGAGCACAAAACCAGTTTCTCATGCAGCACTGAGATTATAATATTATCACAAAAGTATAATTATTAAGCTTTAAAAAAAATTTATTTGATCAACACAGTTTTCAACCTTTATCATCATATTCGTCATAAGGTATCGTATTCTTTCGAAAATTAGCAATTCCAAATTACTTAGTATCTGAAAATAAGTAACATCTCAAATTTTACATCAAAACAAAATGTAAATGTTATAAAAATCACTTAAATAATAAATAAATACTTTAAATAATTCAAATCAATACATTTTTTATTTAAAGTATAGTTGCTTGCATTACCCATAACAAAAATCATTTAATATAATCCTATTATTAACAGTAATTAATTAGAATCATTAATACTATCACCATTATCGATACTATTATCACTATTATCAACATTATAGTCAGCATTATTATCAGCATTATCATCATCCTTAATGCTATTACTATCACCATCAACACTAATTTTTAAATCGAAATCTGAATCTGTTGAAATCTCACAATCTTAAAAGACAAAGATAATTTCATTTGAGATTGCATCCCAGAAACACTTGACTCATAAACACAAATCGCTAATTTTAGCTCGATGAAGGTTTTCTGAAGCAGAGTCTCCAGCACCATTATCTGCTATCAATATATGCTATTCCTTGTGAAGATTGTCTTTAAAGGGCTTATTTATTAAAATGTCAAGCGGTTAACAAACGTTGATTAGACCACCTGAAATAAATGCTAAATCAAACCCACTATCCCATAATTTTTTTTAACAGATTCTTCTAAATGCCCTTTGAAAGAATCATAGACCAATATCGCTGGATCCCTCTAAGTACCATTTTCTGATCTTATATCATTGAAAAAATTCACATATTTTAGCATTAAGTTTGAATCCGTCCAGCTGTTTTTTGAACTAAACTATAATACTAAGAAGGATTTGTTTCTAATGTAGCATTCGTTTTCTTTAAAGATGCAAATAGAAGGTAACTTGATTCCATCTATAATAAATTAATAAACTTTAAAATAAAAAAATTAATGAATTAATAAAAATAATGAGAGATTATCTGCAGCATATGTTAAAATGATGGTAAACCTATTTTTTTCATTACCCGTCAAATGAATATGAACTGTTTTTTCACCTTTTTGATTTATCGTAAAGTTATAAGCCATGTTAAACCAAATGGGTGTTTTGTCCATATTAAAAATATTTCCTAATTCATAAGATTTTTCGAGCCTAAGACGAATGATGAATTTATAAAATTTATTAAATAGTTCTTGAATGTACTTTGGAGCTTTTGGGATATCCTTATACGTCTTTGCAATGCTAAACCATGTCTTTTTAAAAATACTATTAACTAACGTTGAGATATTTTAAAATTCTCTGCTAAACTTCCGTAAAGTTCTAACATATCTGCTACTTTTAGAATTTTTACCATTTTACTTCATAAAATTGTATATGACACAGCTAAGCCTTGCTTTCTTTGTCTAATAATCCAATTATAAAGTATTTTTTCAGCCTCAGAAAAAATATTTTTAATATCGGAATTGAATCACTTACATTTATTGTTGGTTTTAAAATTCCAGTTTGAGCTTGCCGTCACCCAATGTCCTACCATACTAAGATCGGTATTAAAATGTTTTGCTACATTATTATTTTCTCATTCTTTTGCATATTTAACAACTTGTATCTTTTGTCCTATAGAGTATGAGATATGTTTCTGTTTAACAATTTTTTTTATCTTACGAATTTTTCTTCTTTCTGCCATATTTGTTACACTTAGCATACATGTTTGAAAACTGGTTTTAAAGACTCCGTGACTATAAATGATCAGTAATCATGAGAATGACTCCGTGACTCTGCGTAAGCATATAAATGATCAGTGATCACGAGAATGTCTACCCAAAATAAGTGTAAAAATAGGTTGCTTATTTTGGAAGAATACGGTTAATTTTTCTAATTCTTTAACAAATACCGTTGCTTTTAAATTTAAATTTAAAATAAAAAAATCATTTATATATTCTACATTGTAATAAAATAAACCTGTTAAATCATCAAATTTGCAAAGTTGTTATCGAAACTGTCGAAATTATTTCTGAAAAGTTTCAATTTTGTCAAAATGGGTTTATGGTTTTACCCCACAACTAAAGTTTTAAATATTCACTAAATTTGAAAAAGAGCACTTGCTTTTTAAAAAAAAAATTAATTCTTGAAGGTATTCTTTCTAAAATTTTTTTATTCGCTTTCGCTTTTAATTTTAATTTAAATATTCTCAATAGTGTTTTTGTCTTTCAGCATTAAACAACCACTTAAACTTTTAAAAGGATTTGATAATATATCATAAAAAATCAGTTTTATTTTAATTAAATATTAACCTTGTCAACAATTCATCAAAATTAATTCATTGGATTATATGAATAAGGTACCCTTTATCAGAATAAATAAATCATTGACATTTTGTAGGTGAAAGAATTTATTAAGCATATTATTATCATCTTTTGTAAATACATTCAAATAAGAGCTAGCCTCAAAATTTGTCTCTAACATTGATAATAACATCTTTCAAGCCAACTTTAAAAAAGTTTGAGTCAATCTAGATAAATAAAATTCGACATTTAAAAATTTTTGCAGGAAATAAATTTTCGGTTAATAAGCCCTTTATAAGAAATACTGTTTAATAATCACAAACTGTCCATGATTGCTCCATTAAATATGTAAAGTTAACATAATCTTATATACAATAAATGTTGGTTATATGATTTGTAATTTTAAATAATTCTCCAAAATTAAATTAAAATTTCATTATAACTCACCCTTGATAAAATCTAAAATCTCCATTTCTTCTATGTTAATAGTGTTTGCATCCAAAATATTACTTTCATAATAAGATTGTTTGCACGTAACAGTATTGCCAAAATTTAATGTCATATTAACATAACGAGAATCACACATCACATATGTATTATCTCGCATTCGACTTATATTAAAATTTTTCGAATCTTTCCATTACCTAAAGAATAATAATACTTTCGGAAGTAATTCATAACAAACGCTTTATTCTGATTGCATAGAAAATTTCAATGCCTAAGGAAACTTGTAGAAATATTTTGTTAACTTGAATGGTTATAAAGTTATGGATTTTATCTTTTATTTTCTACTTTCAGGTGTAATTTCAAAAGTAAGTTTAATTTCATGAATCTAACTTAAATGGTTGTAGAATTACGGATTTATTTTTTTTGTAATAATAAAACGCGACGCGTTTATTTTTAGTAAAATTTTATCTATCTTGTTTTAGGAAGCGCTGTATTTTTGACCATTTTAGTTCTCAAATCAATAAAAAAATTCTTTATTTATCGGGAAAATAAAAATGGAGGATAAAAAAAAGAAGGATAGAGGATCAAATTAATTTGAGATTGAAACATTTTTATCATAGCATTTTGCAACCAATGGAATGTAATTATTTAGAGCTTAAAAATCTGGATGCAAGTACTGTATATTTATATGGTTTTTACTTTTTTGCAATTTATTTATTATACTTTTTTCTTTTTAATAAAAATGTAAATCGAATAACTGGATTATTAAAACTAATACGTGTGCGAAATAAAATAATTTTGGATCAAAATATCACAATTATATAATTTTGAACAAACGGAAGCTTTATGTAGGATAATTATTAGACTTATATGAATTAAAATGTTATTTCATATATTAGAACAAGAGGTTAATATTTTCAGAAGTGTTAGAATTTGTAGTAATATGAATTCTATATGAAAGCTTTAATAAATTGATTGTATTTCTACAAGTTCTTTAAATTAAATATCTTTTCTCCAAATATACAACTTAATTTAAAAATTTTGTAAAATTAAATTATTCCTGATGTCAAAATACAAACTTTTTAATTATTTTTTTTTACATAATTAATAAATAACTGCTAAAGTAAATTGATTATTTCATTTTATTATTTAAGACGAAAATAGTAAATAATTTTTAGTTAAAATAAAACAATTAAATTGCTAAAATTGTATCAAGGCGTTAAGAAGTTGGTAGGATGGTTGTTTGATTTAAATATTCAGGGTAAATTTTCGATAAGGAATCAGGTAAATTTGGTAAGCTAGATATTGAAGTATTTGTACAGTAAAGTTCAGTTAAAGAGTTTGGTAAGGTTGGTAGGATAGTTATTGGAGTATAAGAGCAAACAAGTTTCATTAAGGAGTTGGGTAAAGTTGGTAGGATAGTTATTGGAGTATAAGAGCAAACAAGTTCCGTTAAGGAGTTAGGTAAAGTTGGTAAGCTATTAATTTTAGTCCAATAACATTTGAGTACCGTTAAGGAGTTGGGTAATGTTGGTAGGATAGTTATTACAGTACCAGAGCAATCAAGTTCCGTTAAGGAGTTAGGTAAAGTTGGTAAGCTTGTTATTAGAATACTAGAGCAATCAAGTTCCGTTAATGAGTTGGGTAATGTTGGTAAGCTATTTATTTTAGTCCTATAACATTTGAGTATTGTTAAGGAGTTGGGTAATGTTGGTAGGATAGTTATTGGAGTATAAGAGCAATAAAGTTCCGTTAAGGAGTTGGGTAATATTGGTAAGCTTGTTATTTTAGTCCGATAACATTTGAGTACCGATAAGGAGTTGGGTAATGTTGGTAAGCTGGTTATCTGAGTATTATTACAGTCGAGTACTTTTAATTTCCGATATCTTTGCAATCCTCCTAACGCGTTTAATATGTCATTCTTATTAAAATTCGTAATCGTTAATCTTTCAATAATATCATCATATATAATATCTGATTCTTCAATTTTTGATTCTAATTCTTCTACATTCATCTGATTAAATTTTTGAGATAATTCTCTATGTAATGATATATTATTATTACAAGAAACAGCATCAACATTTTTTAAATAACTATCCATTTGGTCCTTTATCTGATCAAATCGAACAATTTGAGATGATTCTCCAAATGAATTATTTATACTAGAAGAAGCATCAATGTTATCCAAACGACGATGTTGGAGATTTGATTCATAATTATTCGTTTGATTTCCTGTTATGCTTGTTATCTTAACAATTGCATTTAATTTATCAACTACTTGATTCATATCAGGACGTTTATCTGGCTCATCATCCCAGCATTCTAAAACACAAATTTGAAGATTAATTAAAATAATATTCATTTTATAACTTCAATTGAAATTATAAATATATATTTACCGGTATAAATAATTACATAATCTTCAGGTGCGCCGGGTATGACCTTTTCTCTAAGTCCTTGTGAAATTGCTATAGCTAAACCAATGTCATACACTTGACCTTCAACATGAAAAGGTTGACGACCACTTGATATTTCCCACATGAGTACACCAACACTGTATACATCACTCTTTTCATTTAGTTTATATTGTCGTAATGTATTGTCACTTGTTCGGCTATTAAAACTTATTGGATCAACATAAGGAATTACTCCAAAAACTTTCGACTGATTAGTTGCGTCTTCAATTCTTTTCGATAATCCAAAATCAGCTAGTTTAATAATACCTTGACGAACTAATATATTGCCGGAATGCTAATATAGATATAATAAAATTAATTAATAATTATTAATAGCGATAGTAAACAAAATTATGATATATATCGTGCAAGATTACCAAATCACGATGCACAATTCCTTCTTCATGTATACACGACACAGCACAAGCCAACTGAAATGCAAAGATATATTTATCATCCCAAGTAAGTCTATCAAAATTCTCTTTCAAATAATTTTTAAGTGAACCGTCGTCAGCATATTCCATTACTAACCAATATTTTTTCAATTGATTTTCTAATTTTTTTTTTTTCAAAAAAAAAATATAAATATATAAAAAATGAGTCAAAGTAAAATATATTAATTCGATACATAAACTTTATTAAGGAGATTTACCTTGATTACAAGTTATCCCACAAAAGCTGATAATATTGTCATGAAAATCAACTTCACGATGAAGTTCAAGCTAAATTATAACAATTTAAAATTAATACATAAATGATTTTATAACAAATAGACGAAATGCATATTATGCTTTGTGCTTACCTCACGAACCAGTTCTTTCGCAGTAGCATTGTTGAAATTATAAAATGATTTTAACGCAAGGCGTTGCTTTGAACTTTTCCAATTTGCACGATAAACTTTTGCAAAACTGCCAGAACCAACTTCTTGAAAATTACTAAAATGTTTGAGTTCGTAGTATTTGATAATTTTTCTTGAGATAGCTTCTTCAATCCAATTAACCCATTCATTCGAATTGTTGGTAGCTTGCATGTTGATATATTTAATTTTGTATAGCGAAATGAACTAAAATAAATTCTTGGAGAAAAAGCAAAAAAGAAAAAAAAAATGCACGAGGTAAATCAAATTTCTAAGCCACCGGAAATTTAATGTACGACGACAATGGTAACGCAAAATTACTGCGCCAACGAAACATTTCGTAAATATTGCATTTATAATACGATTTATCGCATAAAATCTATGTAGTAATTTAAATTTGAATTATTGTATGATTTATTTTTATCAGCTTTATAAAACTTTAATAAAAGCACTGTAATGGTTAGAAAATACAAAAATATAAATAATATTAAAATATATCGCAGTAACTAGCATACACAATCAAAATAATAATCATATCACTGTTAAATGTGATGTAAATTCTAAATAAATTAAATAAATGAATATAGTGCAGTAGCCGTTAAAGACGTACATTAAAAGCTCGAAGGCTGATTTTTCGACAGTTGACAATCGAATAATATTTTCCTACTTTCGTGATCGAGAAAGCTGTACTATAATGAAAATTTTACAATGGGTAAATTCGCGTGCAGTAGCTGATACACAATCTATGATGGTTGTGACACGAACGATAATAATTGTATAATGAACGAAAATCTCAATGTTTCTCGTTCTTACCGAATGATTTCCTATCGCTTGACAGATCTACCTTCTGATTATTTAGAACCTTCTTGTAACCAATGAATCTCATGATGCTATCAAAATTTTCGATGAGCAAGCGCATTCGAGAGTTCGTTACAGAAGATGCAAGGTCACTTTTATCGGAAAATTGAGCAAGAAAATTTGATGATGATTTTAATCTAAGATTTGATGTTTCGTCCGAAGCCTTTAGAATAAAATTAAGGCAAAGATCATTCGTGAATTATTTGATTCTCTCCCTTCCCTTTTTTTCTTTAGCTTTCTGCTTTAATTATAACTCTGGTAGTTTTGGAATTTTCAGAGGGAATTTGTAGCGGAACGATTATCTCAGATCGATGATTTGGGAGTTACTATAATAGATGGGTTGCGGTTGACTCGAATTTATAACATTAGTATAGAAGAAAGAAAGACAACTTTCAACTTTGAAAGCATATTGCAATCGGAGTTCAGTATCAAATCCCGTCTCGCATCAATTCACCCGTTTAACCAAAGATTCTTCGGTAAATAGAAAACATAATCATTTTTTGATTTACCACTTTTCTACTTATCTTAAAATTTCACTTTTTGATTAAATTTCGACTGGAAAGTAAAAAATTTTATTAGTTATTATAATAATAGAAAAAAATTCAAATGTTCCTTTTTATTTTATTTTTTAAAAGAACAATATTATAACTACAACTATTTAAATTAGACTTAATAAATCCGAATTACCGGGGGGTGACAAAAGTATTGCACGGTCAAGAATTAGATAATTTTGATAAATTTTTAATAAGTAACTGAGCTATACTTTTTAATAACATATTAGCTAACTATTACTTAATGAAACATTTTGTTCATTGTTTTGTTTAGAGTAATGCATAGTGTAAAATCTAATTTTAAACAATCTCTACGTTTAAATTCTTCGCACTTTATATGTTCTCGCTAAAGGATCAGCTTATTAGCTTTTTGTATATTTTTACTAATTAACAAGCTGCAAGTAACATAAGGTCAGTCAATGACATCTTTTCTGGATCCAATTTTTTTTTACCGTAATAATGACCATTTTAGCCTTTTAACGAAAATATAATGCGTAATATTAAAAATAGAGATTTTTTAAAATTCGATTTTAAGAATTGCAACATATTAAATTAAACAATTAATAAAAATATTTCATAATGCAATAGATGTCCAAAATGTTTCTAATAAAATATGGCTCAGTTACAAATGAAAAATTTACTCAATATCTCATTCTTAATCGTGCAATATTTTTGTCACCCCCCCGGTATATATAGAAAAATAAAATTGAAATTGAATCCTTTTGTTTTATCCACATCTCTTATGTTCATATGCATCGATCGATGCTTTTTTATTTATACAGTAGCGGTCATAAGTATCCGACCCCTCATAATTCTTAAAGTTAATTAATAACACCCATTAAAATTTTCCA